GGAAGAGCACAAACTTTGAAGTCAGACAGATCTCTGTTTGGCCACTTGTTAGCTCACATTTCTTCAGAAAGTTCTCTCTAAGCTTACTTCTCATGTATAAAAATGAGCATCAGGGCGTCTGGGTGGCTCAGTCTGTTAAGCATCCGACTTTGACTCAGGTCATGATGTCGTGGTTCGTGGGTTTGAGCTCTGCGTTGGGCTCTGTGCTGACCTCTTGGAGCCTGGAGCCTGCTTTGGATCCTGTGTCTCCCTCTCTCTCTGCCCCTCTCCTACTCATGCTCTGTCTCTCTGTCTCTCTCTCTTAAAAATAAACATTAAAAAAAAATTTTTTTAAATGAGCATCACAGAAATAGTTAAAACAGCATTAAATGTTAAAACAGACATAGTTACCGTAACGATACATTGTCATTATTATTATGCTGGGGAGAGGTACAGAAAAGGTGAAAGTGTTTCTAGGAATAACATGTAGTTTGGTATGTTCATTAAATAATAGGGTAAGTTTCAAAGGAAGAGTGTCACATAATGTCTGCAGGAGGAGCTTTAGGATAAAAAAAGAAAAAAACACACATGAAGTAAGTGGAGGCCAGTGCTCTCACCTTTCTTGCCTATTTCATTTTGTCGGTCACACTTAGGTGAACACTGACCTTTCATTTTTCTCCCTGAGAAATTGGTCCCAGAGTCAGTACTTTTTTTTTTTCCTTTTTGTATTTCTCAAGGTCATTGTCATAGTATGATGTATGAAATGTGGACCTCAGATCGCATGGAAGTTGCCTTCCATGAAAATCGTTGACTTTGTCAACCCCAACTTTCCTCTGAAGCTCTTATACTTTACTTTCTGTTACAGGCTGGCTGAGGTTTAGGTTAGGACCAATCCAAATAGTATATCCTTGGGAAAGAAGGGAAGTGTTGGAAGAGAGGAGGAGGGGTATAGAACGGGGGATGTTTTGGGGTTGTGCCTAGGAAAACACATTGAGGAGGAGAGCATAATTACCATGTCACTTCCACTTTATGCTACTGTAAAAAGTCAGAATTTTGAGAAAGATCAGGTTAAACCACTTGGGTGATTCTGATTGGTTTGGCATTATGTTCTCGGCACTTAAATGACCAGATAACAACATTCACTTATAAACCGAATTAGATATTAATTTCAAGTAATTCTAGAAATAAGAATCTTCCATTGAAGTGATTCTTAAACTTTATGGGGAATCACAAAAACCACTGAGAGTTTATCCAAGAGCTCTGAACTCTTCTTCAGAAAAATGTACATATATGTGTAATGATTCAGAGAAAGTATCATTTTTAGGACCTGTAAGCATTCTTCATAAGGAGAGATTGATTCATCATTTTTGCAAAGGGTGTCAAAAATGAAGTTTTAACCAAACACCAAAATCTAGCAGACATAAAATTCCAAAGCAAGAGCACCATTTGCAGACTCTGAAGGAAGTGGCTGGAAAGAGGTTCTACTAGTTTTCAATTCCCTTACCTACTTAGAGACTATAAAGGGATAGGATTTGGGTTTATGAAGAGATTTCTTTAGAGAGCTTTGTTACCTCATTGTTAATGCCCCCTACCCATGCCCGGGTGTCAGAGATTACTGTTTCTTACTCTTCAATGGTGGGGGTGAGGGGTGGCTTCCATATGATGGAGAAATGTGTTCCATGTAGTTGAGAGAAACAAAGGACTGGTCCTCAACTCTAGGCCAAAAAGCTAAAGCTTCTGGAGAGAGGCATGTTGGAGGGCTTCCAGCATGGAGGGTGAGCTGTGTGTGACCAGACTTTGGTAAAGAGAGTTTGAGAGAGCCATTTTGAGCTCTACTGAGGAGGATCCTCAGAGGAGAAATGGGCGTGTGTTAGAGTGGGTGCCTGTGTCCTAGGACAAGAGCTGAGGCCAGCTTGGGGATTGAAATACATCACGGGAACAGAAGTTGGAGGAAGAGGGCCAGCAATGGGTCACAGACGTGAATCCATCCATCCCAGTAAGAACTGTCTCATCCTTTTGCTTCTCATCTGGTCTTCCACCTCAGTCCAATCCAACAAAGCAGCCAGGGAGTAAGGAAGCAGGTGAGGCTGGAAGAAAAGCAGAAGTTGAGTATAATTCTGACCTCGGGCCTCACACGGGAACAGTGGAGAATGAATGGATGGATGGCCAAACACAGACTGAAATGCTGATTACAATGGAATTGATTGCCTTTTTGACTTAGAGAGGCCAGGGGTCTGACATCACTCAAGAGCTGTGAAGTTCATGGCATCTGTCTAAGTTCCCTCCAGGGCCAGGGAGAAATTGCTGTATGTCCTCTTCCCTGTCCCTTACATTTTTAGCACAGGTATGGGATGCAAAAATAAATTTGCATTTTGACCACATCTCACAAGTTGTGCCATTATATTGATACCCACTGTAGGACATAAGCAGACCCTACTCCCCCCACCCCCCCCCCAGCCCATGTGGCAGACTGGCCCTTGGGTCTTAAGGGGGAAGTGGGAACTCCTCTGATTTATAACATGGGGAGGGATTGAATACTTGGAGTGTGGGAAGAAGAGACAGAAGGGCCAAGTCTGGGGGAGCAGGGCATGATACATAATTTGAGGGGCCCAGTGCAAAATAAAAATATAGGCTCCTTGTTGAAAATTATTATGAATTTCAAATAGGCACCAACAGAGCATTTAACCAAGTGAGGGCCCTGTGTGTCTGTGTGTTACCCACCCATGAGGCTACCCTGGGGTGAGGAAAAGAGATCAGAAGAGGAAAGGAACTTACTAGTGGTCCCGTTAAAGAGACACTTGGGAGAAGAGACTTGTCTAACTGAGACTGTTTTAGTGAAATGCTCTGCAATGTGATCCCGGCCTCAAGACCCCACAAATCCTTAGCAAAATGACACAGTCCCTTACATGAATGGTTTCTTGTGGAAGCTGGCAAAGGGGCTGGTGAGTGGTGAGGGGCTAAGACAGAGTAAGCCAAGTAGGTAAGGGGACAGCTGATGGCTGGTTATTTACCTAACACTTTCCATATATGTCAAGGGTTTAGGTAAAGAACCCATGTTATACAATAAGAAATTTCCCTATGTCATACAGTATCAAGGATAAAATGGCCTTTTGTTATTTCCTTAGTAGTGTATCAGGATGTTGCATGATATTTTCTCTGTTGCTCAGAATTGGTAACTAGGGGCCAAACTTGGATGTACAAAGGTGTGCCAAAATACCTAACATTATAATGAAAAATGTGGATGGGGGGGCAGACACCCCTCAAGGGCTTGCAAAGAGGTGGTGGAGCCATATCAGCCCCTGCGTTGGCCCCTGTGTTGGCCCCTGCCCCACCCAGCTGTGTATGAGAGGCTGGCCTGAAGGAGGCCTGCTGTAGCTGCTTCTCACCCTGAAGCCAAGCAAGAGAGGCTCCTGGAAAATCCCTCATAGAGAGCAAGGTCATGAAGCGGACACTGGCGGTTCGCTTCTGACTGGCTGTTTGCCTAGGCAGTAGACTTACTGATCGGCCCCTGCCCCTCCTAAGCAGGGCAGAGAGGGTTGGAGACAAACAGGGACAGCAGTGGAGCAGTTGAGGGCTAGCATGCAGCCTTGCCCTTGGCATACGAGGATGGCTGCGTTTTCTGTGGATCAAGTGGACACTGAGAAGGTAGCTGGCTCTAGCCTTTCTTTCTGGCAATCAGAAGCTGTGGGGAGTACAGGTGAGATAACAGTAGTTGGAGGAGATCAAGTAGCATCCAGGACTCTAAAGTCAGTGACCTGGGCAAGTGAAGGTCCCTATAGGGTTTCCTGAAGAACTCACTTATGGAAGCAGTAACATATAGAGAGGACAAAATGGCTACCCTTGATGCCCTGCCCCCATCCCTCCTTTGCCCATTCAGACACCCTAGACAGAAGATGGGAGGGGAGATTGTTTTCCAGAGGGCTATCATTTTGCCTCTTACCACCTTACCTCTGAGATGAGGAAGGGGAGGAAGAGAGGAAGAGCAGAAAGATGCCCATTTCCCATTTCAGGTCCTTCCAGCCACCAGCCCAGCCAGCAGTGGGGGAGGGGGATCTTTGCTTTGGGTATGAGGTTGGCATCTTCCACTGGACTTGACTGAGGTTCTTTTTTTTTTTATTCCAGTTACCTAACATACAGTATAATATTCGTTTCAGGTATACAGTTAAGTGATTCAGCACTTCGTGCAATTCTCGGTGCTCATCACAAGTGCCGTCTTTAATCCCGGTCACCTATTTCACTCATCCTCTCATCCACCTCCCTTCTTGTAACTATCGGTTTGTTCTCTATTGTTAAGAGTCTGTTTCTTGTGGAGTTGACTGAGTTTTTTAATCTCAGGAAGTGACCAAGGAAGTTACAGAATCTGTCCAGGGTATCATTAAAGGATCACTACCCAGCAGGGAAAGGAGATTCAAAACAGCCCAGCTGGGGGCAGCACAGGAGAAAAATAACACTATTTCTTATTTGCACCCTGTGGATTTGAGACTGTTCAATAAACTAGCTATATCTGATTAAGGACTTCCTGTTATTATGACTAAAGTCGAGTAACTATGCATTTATATTGTGGTGTACTGTGTTTATAAACTGTTAGTTTAGGAGTGACCAGATTTTTTCTGCAAATAAATAAACTTGAAATATTAAATGAGAAAAGAGACATACCAGAAGGCAAATTTCCAGATACAGATAGAGAGGCACTTAAAGAGGTATTTAATAATTGCCTTTTTCTCTCTCTTTTTTGAAAAATTTTAACCTAGCATAGAGTCACTAACAATTGATGCAATGGAAAAAAAAATGGGTGTATAAAACCATAATTTGTAAGTGATTTGTTATTCTGGTTCATATGTCAACCATATTACTCTCTTAAATTATTTAAATTTCATAATAATATTTGTCAGGTTACTCTTCTATTTAATTTTTTACTTCATTGTGGCTGTGTCCATGATATTTACATAAGATAGTGGTATAGCTTCAGCCTCCCCCTGCCCACCCTCCCCCTTTCTCCCCATTACCAGAGGCTTCTTAAGTATTTGCAATGTTCTTTTTATTTAGACAAAAATTATTTCATTTTTACATTACAATATTCTTTAAATTTTTTAAAATAACTTTTAAGATACCAGCTCTAGTGACAAGGAAAAATTGTTGTCAGTGATAACCCATCAAAAGAGTACCGTGACTCTTCCTTCATTGTTGTCTTCACTGTAGAGTTGTTTACAGATTACAGGCCACAGCTTTATATCATCTTTAGGGACAAGCTCCGAATCTCTTATTTTTCTTGTTTCAGTTCTGTATCGTCTATTTTCTTGAATCCTAGTCTCCTAAAATGTAAGCAGTACAACATGTTCTCATCCATCATAGCAATAGCGTAAGTGCATTTAAAAATACAAGCCATGGTCCTAACTGCTTAATTATACTTGAGTTGAATTGTGTTGCACTTCAAATGAGTGACATGTTGATGAGATCCTGAAATTGTAATGGGTACTCAGACTTACCAGCTTACCCTGGACTCACTTCTCTCCCTCCACACTGCCCCACTCGCAACATCTGGTTAGTTGCCAAATTCTACCCCTGTATACCTCAGCAGAAATTTCAGTAGTTCTCCTTTTCTTTTTTAATGTTTACTTATTTTTGAAAGAGAGAGAGAGAGAGCATAAACAGGAGAGGGACAGAGAGAGAGGGAGACACAGAATCCAAAGCAGACTCCAGGCTCCGAGCTGTCAACAGAGAGCCCGACAAGGGGCTGGAACTCAGGAACAGTGAGATCAGTGGGTTAACCCACTGAGCCACCCAGGTGCCCCATCCCTTTCTTAATGAATAACATCCAAAGTCCTTTACTTGGCCCTGAGTTTGCACTGTCAGCTCTTAGCCCAACCTTGTCTCCTTCCTTCCTCTTTTCTTTGCACCCTTGCTTCTCTCACCAAACTGAACCTTAGCTGTGTGGGGCTCATCCTTGCTTTAGTACCATTGTTCACACTTCTCTTTTTGCCTGAAAGTATCTTCTCTTTTCCCACCTGTCTCTGAATGTTCAAAACAGAGCCACCTTTCAAAGTCTAACTGATGAAACTTTCCCAGAGTGCTATGTGTAGAAATACTCCCAGCACCGCACCCACTCCCACCCCCACCCCCACCCCCGCCAGGCACAGTCTGTTGTGCCATGCTGTGGACAAAAAGCATGGAATTTATGGACCCCAAATTCTAGTAAAGGAGAAAATATGTCAGATGGCAATAAGAGCCACGTAAAAAATAAACTAGGAATGTTCTGAAAAGGTCTCACTTATAAGGTGTCAGAGCTTGCTACCTGACTTTCTACAGGCCTTAAAGTTTCATGTTCTACTCTATATAAAAATTTTTTTTTGTTTTTATATATACTCTCTACTAGAAAATAAGAGGGACGCCCGGGTAGCTCAGTTGTTTAAGTGCCTGACGTCGGCTCAGGTCACAATCTCCCGGTTTGTGGGTTCAAGCAGGGCTCTGTGCTGACAGCTCGGAGCCTGGAGCCTGCTTCAGATTCTGCGTCTCCCTCTCTCTCTGCCCCTCCCCAACTCCTGCTCTGTCTCTCTCAAAAATAAATAAACACTAAAAAATAAAAAAGGAATAAGAGGTAGCTTGCCTATTAATTTTATGAAACTCTTGCTTTTTGATTTGTGCATAGTAGATACTTCATAAATACTTATTAATACAATGATAGTAATAGCACTCATTTATAAAATGAGATCCAGAAAAAGAAAAAAATTTGATTTAAAGTTGATGAAAAAAACCTTCTGAATTTGAGACCTGGTGTATTGAAATGGCATCCTGTGTACATGCAGACAGTTCCCTCATATGGGATCTTTTACATTAAAGAGATTAAATGTTGGACAGTATGTCATAGGCTTAAATTCCCAATCCCGTAATCAGGATTTTCCTCCTCGGTATGTGGCTATAGAATGATGAGACTGATGCCCACGTGTGGCTTAGGGGAAACCACCTCATTACTTTATACCTGTGGTCGTGTTTATATCTGGCACTTCTATAGTTCTCAGTTCAGGTATTCATCTCCCTGTCTCTTTACCCTTTCCCTTCTAAGAAACTTAACCTTCTTAGAAACTTTTGAAAAGAGGTAGTCCTTTTTAATGTTTCCGGACCAGCTATACATAACTGCCCATTCATTTTAACTGGTTTTCAGGTATTTACCATGGGTGTTTTTGATCAGGATTCTGGATTTCTCGGGGCTGGCAGTTCATGGAGTAGAGTAACTCACTGGCAGATGGTGAAAGCATGGATTGTTGGAGCAAATCACTCCGTGTCTTGGCGACGCTTTTGGCCGTTGTTCTCCCAAACCTTTGGGGCAGATTAGGAACATGTCTTGAGATACTTTCCTTTATATTTCTTCCAAATCTCAGGGGCAGGTTGGCCATTGCCCCAGTGCTTCTTTCTTCTTCCATGGTCCTCCCAAATCTCAATGGCAAATTGGCAGCTGAGTGTGGCGTTTTGTTGACTGTGGGTGCACTCATCTTAATGACAGTTTTTGGACCCCAGTCTTGGAGCTCTTCAAAACTGAGACTTCTTTCCTTTTCTCCCTCAGGGTCTCCTTTAGGCTATGATTAGAAAAGAATATTAAAATAAGTTATTGTTTTAGGTAGTTGGTATAAACCCCAAATTAACTTAAGTCCAGACTTTGGTTTGCAGCATTGTTAAAGCTATAAACAAAGTTTGTGTTAATGTGCAGAATTTTTAAATAAAGCGTTCGCATTAGGCTTCTTAAAGCAATCTAGTTTCTCTGTCCCTGGACTATTGTAAGACAACCATAAAATATTAATAAAAAACATATAGTGAATACAGCAATGTGTTTGAGCAGCAGGAACATAATAAAGTATTGAAATGAGGCAAAAGTTTATTTTGCTGAAGTTATTCTCTTTCAGCTTTTGATTCATGCTGTTTATGAAATAGTTCATATATTTTTATATTTTGATTTTAGAGAAACCTTACACGGCCTCTTCATGTCTCTTGCTTCTCCTCTTTTTAAATGCCAAAGTGGTGGATAAATGCAATGAGAGATGCTAGCTAGGTTTTGGGGTACAGCTAGAGGAGGCTCCACTGAATTTCTTTCTTACCTGCTCACATTCAGAGCTCCATTCTAAAAGCATTGCTTAAGAAACCGATTGCATTTTTATTAGTATATAAGTTACATTTTTTATTAAAGCAGTGATTGGTTTGTGGGTTACTGCACCACTACGCTACCAACTTTAAAGGAACCACTTAAGGGGTGCCTGGGTGGCACAGTCACAGTCTCACCATTTGTGAGTTCGAGCCCTGTGGCAGGCTCTGGGCTGAAGCTCAGAGCTTGGAGCCTGCTTCAGATTCTGTGTCTCCTTCTCTCTCTGCTCGTCCCCCACTTGCACCCTGTCTCTCTCTGTCTCTCTCAAAACTAAATAAACATTAAAAAAAATTAAAAGAACTACTTAAAATACAGCAAATATTTCATTAAATTTAGCTTTCCCATGAAAATCTGTCCCTAAGAAGATTAAAAATTGCTTTTTAATGTTTATTTAGTTCAGAAAGGGTGGGAGAGAGGCAGAGAGGGAGGAAGACAGAATCTGAAGCAGGCTCCAGGCACTGGCTGTCAGCACAGAGGCTAACAAGGGGCTCATGACCTGAGCTGAAGTCAGACACTTGACTGACTGAGCCACCCACGTGCCCCCTTAAGATTTTTAAATGATTGTTTTTCTGATTGTAAAAAGTAATATGTACTCATTTCAGCAAGTTTGGAAAATGTATAAAAGCATAAAGAAGAAAATAAAAATAACTTGCAATTCCACCATCTAGGGATAAATATTTTACTTAGATGTAGATTTACCATAAACTTATCAGCTCATAATTGCTAGGTAGAAAATACAACCCTTGTATTTTTTTAGTTTGTAGTTGAAGACCGTTCAAATGTTCAGCTGAAGTATATCCAGATCTTATATCAGCAATTATTTATTACAACTGTGTACTTCTGAGTCCGTTGAAAATTCCTAATGCACCTTTATACTTGTTACATATCATACCCTGTACATAAATTGTCATTAGAGAGGCCAGGCTGTTTGCTGTCGTGTTAAAAAATACAAACTATATCAGTGCACTGTCATGGGAAGCCTGCAGTTTGACAAACAACAAAGCACAAACTAACTTATTCCTTACTCTTTACAAAATACAAAAAAGCATCAGATTTAGGACATATATATAGTTAATGCTAGTCATGTTAGATGGAGTTAAAAAACTTACCTCAGAATATTTGTCATAATTTTCTTTGCTGTGAAAATTGGACATCATTAATTCATCTGTACAAAAGATGCTTGATGTTAACAAGCTTGAAGTGGCTAAAGTCAATAAAATAAAGCATTTTGATGAAATAACTTTCATTTTGTTCAGAATCTAGAATTAAGTTTCTATGTGCAGCCTGATGTCTGCAAGATGGGGAATCGTGGTCTTTTTATACTGTCTAAAAACAAAGGAAAGATTGATTTAACAGTGAAACCAATCCCACATGTTTTAAGTACTAGTATTAATTAGAGTGTTTAACTAAACTATGTATTTAAGGAATGTGGCTGATTCATTCTGGAAAGACAGCTATGTTCCTGTTTGCAAATTCATTAACTTTGAAAATAATTTTCCTCATTATGAAGGAGTTTCTAATTAGATAAGTTTGGGGCCATGGTAATTAAGAGTCCGAACAAACAGAATGCTTCATTTCTCTGAACTCAAATAAAAAATATTTTGGTGTTTGCGTCAATTCTTCAGAAGGAAAAAAAAAATAGTATTCAATACATGCGAGCTATGTTAAACAAACAAACAAAAAAAAACATTTTTTTTTTTTTTTACTCACACAAAAGAGTTTGGCATAGTAATTTCAAAATGTCAAAGAAAATTAAGAATGTAAAAAGAATTCTAAGTCACATAATACCCAAATAAATGCCATTAATTAACTTTTTGTAAAATGCTGTTTGGTTATGAAAAAGCTTCAGGAGTAAATGTCAGCTGCGACGTGAAAGGTGGGCATCAGACCATGTGCTAGGCGTTTTGACAAACTGGCTTTCTCAGGAGAAGCTGGAGGCAGTTCCAGGCCTTTTGTATTTGCCCTGTGGGCCTTATTTGGCAAAACCGTGTAAATCACTGGGATTTTATTTCTGTGGTGCTGCTGCACCCTACCTTCCTCCTCAGAGCCCTTAAGAACCCTAGCAGAGGTTTGGTAAGTCACACACATGCTAATTTTGTTGGTCCCCTGGCCCATATTATTTAGGTAATCTCACATTGCCACAGGCATACTGACATCATGGCATAAGAAAAGAATTTATAGAAATAAATGGCTATTTACTGAAATGCCAAAGCGAGTCTCTTTTGGAGCAGATGACTGGTATTCTTAAACAGCTGTCTTATCATGAGACTACCTAGGTTCTAGAGAAATCATTATTTATTCCCATCTGCCCATTCAGCCCTCTCAGGGAAAAAAGACCTTATAGTGATTGATTTTTAGCTACTTCTAGATACAGACACTTAGAGGTGAATTCACAAAAGAGCAAATTATAAAATCACATCTTTTTGTGTCATGGATTGTGCCATCTTGAGCCTCTTCCACAACCTACCATGATTTGAGGTTTGCGATGGGCAGAAGTGAAGACCTTTCTCTATATTATAGATCTCCAGAATAAATTAGGAAAACAACAAGGGTTAAACTCTTGAGTACCCCAAGGTCACACTTGCCTGCAGCCTCTCTTAAAGGCAGTTGACATCATTGGCCTCATTTGTTTTAGTCTGTGCTAGCCAAGAAGCCCCACAGTAGGAGGCAATTAATTCAATTCATAGTCTAGGGTTAATTTTGTAACACTGTTATTGGATTATTTGGGTTTAATTTCCCTGAGGATTTAATGCATTTCTCTTTCAAATTGTTCCTTTGCAAACTGCTGATGGAACTTCCTTTTTTTTGTGGTCAGTAGATCCAAACTTTTGAGAAATGGGTGACGCAAGGAGCAAGTTATGTTGGCCGAGTTCACACCCTGGAAAAAGTGGAAACGATCCACCTGGGTCTCTTTCAAAGTACGTTCTGTTATCTGGTTGTTTGAAATGTTAGCAGTGCATCCATTTTCAGTACTGCTACTTGAGGTTTTGACACATCTATTAGAGTTTTTCTGATTGCAGTCAGCATCTAGAGTAGCCGATATGACTAATTACTCCCCTGTCTCCACCAGGTTCAAACTTCCAAGTTTGGAGTATAATTAGAATTATCTTATTAATATAGGGCTTGGCACTTTTTCAGCCGTATTTTCAGTTAGCTTCGAAAATGTTGCTATAAAACAACATGACCTAACATACACAGTATGAAATCATCATAAATCTTTTGATGAAATGTGCTGCCACATACATAGCATATTTAGGGATTCTTGCTGAGACATGAGCATAAAAAAATGAAAAAACTCTGTCTCCCGGACACGTGGCATTTACATACATGCTTCACTAAGATTTTAGGAACCTGAAATCAACTCACTTCTAAGCCTCTCTCTCCAGCTTGAACACTTCTGAGCTTTAGACCCCCCACATCCTTGGCTTCCGACCACACAGTGCTGTTGGGATGCCCCACAGGCATCTTAAATGCTGTATGTCCAAATTGGAATTTATCTTTTCACACCGGTCTCTCATCCTATGTTTCCCATTTCAATGAACAGTATTCTTTCTGTCAGGGTCCAATCAGGAGATATAAAATACATAGTAATTTGAACAGTAGTTTGATTAATATAAAGCATTATTAATTATAAAGGGGATTAACTATAAAGGGGTAAAGAATACACTAGAATCAAGGGAGAGTATCCAAGGAAAGGGCAAGCTGATTGGGATTCAGACCATATTGGAGAAAGTAAGGATGGCAGAGAAGTTTGCTGGGTCACCCCAGGCCAGAGCCTGTCTACACTCACAAGTGGGAGATACTCTTCCAGGGTGCAGATGGGCCAAGGCTGGGAAGGCAACTTCTGGGATATCTCTGAGACTCGCTGGGAATCAACTCCACGGGGATGAGTGCTACCAGATGTCCCGAACATGCACCACGGGCAGCCATGTGTAGGAACAAAAAGAAGCAAATGGAAACCCATTTGAGCCAGAAAGAGAAATCCCTTCCTCCCATAGTACCCTTCTAATGCCTTTTACTAACAAAGCCTAAAATTATTGTAGCCCCAAAAGGTAAATGCTTACTGGGTCCATCTCTGTTATCTCAGAGCGTGAAATGAGGAGTGGATTTGGAGCTGAAAGGCAATAGATACATAACTGGCTCAGTCATCCACCCATAGGACCACTCCTAAATCCTTTGTGAGAACCATGACTATTTCCTCCCCGTTCCTCCCTCATCCCGTTCTGTAGTTAATGAACAACTGTTTCTAGTTTTGAGCTTTATACTCAGTAATAATAGATAGTATTTTCTTGAGCACTTACCACATGCCAAGAACCGTCCTAAGTACTTTGTGAATTAACTTGTTTATCTTCCACAATAATCTCATAAGTATTTACTATTATTATTCGTGCTTTTCAGAAAGGAGGGCTAAGGTGCAGAAGGGTGAAACAATTTTCTCTGTACATGGCAGGGCTGGGATTTGAACCCAAGCATTCCGAACACGTTCTCACTCTGCCACTCCACCCAGTCAAGCCTGGTCTTTTCTAGCTTCTAATTAATCTGTTCACCTCTCTCCATCCCCATTGCCATTACCCGGTTCACCATTTTCTCTTATCTAGACCTTTTTCTTGGTCCTGTCCAATTCTTCCTCCACAGAGTAATCAGAAACATTTTTACAAAATAGAACATATTTATGAGTTCTTTTTTAAAACCTTTCAGTGGTTTGCCATTTTTCTTGGAATCACTTAGCCCACTTTTCATTGCTAGTAGTCCTCTTACCTCTCCTACATCATCTCTCTCACCACCTCTGTGCTTTATGATAAACTTCTTTCCTTTTTTTTTAAGTTTATTCTTTTTTTTTTTTTTTTTTTTTTTTTTTTGAGAGAGAGAGAGAAAGCACAAGTGGGATAGGGGCAAAGAGAGAGAGATGGAGAGAGAATTCCAAGCAGGCTCCATGCTGTCAGTGCAGAGCCCAATGTGGGGCTTGAACTCACAAACTGTGAGATCATGACTTGAGCCCAGATCAAGAGTCGGATGCTTAACCTACTCAGCCACCCAGGAGCCTCTATGATAAACTTCTTTCTGTTTTCCAAATGGATGCGATTTCTCTTGCCTCCAGGCCTCTTGCTTATGATTTTCCTGTGCATGAAATATTCGTCTATTCCCCTGTCTCCTTCTTACACCTCCTCATTGTTTGGGTCTCAGCTGAGACATTACATGTTGTGAGAAGCCTCTCCTGACTTCCAGCTCCAATAAATGGCTCTTTGTTCTTCACCAATTGTGGCCTTTTCATTCTGACTTGTCCTATACTGTACCTTGGCCTCCCTCCTCCTATATTGTTCTGGAAACGTACATGAGGGCAGAGCCTTGTTTTTGCACATCACGGTGCTATTTCCCATTGTCTATATCACAGATGCTCAGAACATTTTATTTCTAAATGAATGAATATATTTTTCATTGGTGTTAGGAATAGGAGTTAAAACTGAAGGTGCTTGTTAATTGTTTTTCCCAGTTTTGGCTGTTGACCAGAGTTTCCTCTTTAGTGTGACTTATACATTTTTAGAGCTTAAGTTTGTTGGCTTATACTGAAATCTTACCATCTTAACATTCTCCCGGTGAGGGTTCACATCTAAAGCTTTCCCCGACTGAGAACCATACATGGACAGTCAAGTATAGGTAGGTTGAATGCAAGTATGTTTTATCCTGTTACAGTGCAATATGCAGTTTGATAAGTTCAATATATTCTGATGGGTCTTGCTGTGTTACTGTGTCCAAACAGCAGGAAGGGTGTGAAAAGGGACTACTCAGCCCTAAGAGGGGCTTCCTGACCATGCTTCAGGGTCTTCCATTAGGTGGACTTCATAGGCTCCACTGACTGAGGGCAGAAAAGGGCTCTCTGATTACTTGTTACTTTTCCATGCCCAATAGATGTCCCTGACCTTTGCCAGGCAGTTAGAGTAGGGGACAAATAATTTCTGCCAGTCAGAAACTGAGGTGATGTGAGTTGGGTTTAGGACTTTGTAATGTCCCGGTTTATCTGCCCCTCTAGGAAAATATTTAAAATGCGTGGTTGTTTTTGTGCCATGGGCTGCAAGTTTTTATTGCAATTTTTATACAGAAGAGCTATCTTCCTCCACACATTGATCCATGCCCCCTAAGGCCATGGTGACATCTGCCAAAGAGGTATTGAATATTAATATACGGAAGAATTTTCTTATACAACCCTGTTCCTCATCCTCACCCAAGCAGTTTATTTTCAGGGCATTTATTTACCT